GAGTTGCCTGAGGTGTTTATAAAAGATCCAATTCTAAAGCAGATTAAGGGTGGTTTAAGCATGCCAGGGAAGGTTGTCCTCCCTGAATCCAGAAAGCCACGACTGCAGCCTGGGGGAGGAGGTCATGCCTGGCCTACCACGTGCTTAGACACCCTCATTTGCTGCACTCACAGGTTACAGCTTGTCCTTCAGCCTTACCATTGACTATTATGTAAGTGTGTTTGCTATTTAAAAAGCAAAACACACACACACACACACACACAAAGCAAAGCACTTAGAATAATGGTTTCTGAGTGGATAATCATTTGGGACACAGTATGTGTCTCTACCTGCACTGAAGATGCCACCTCCGTAGGGGCTACGTTGTTCTCTTCATATGTTAACACAACTAATATTAGCCTAGCTAAAGCTGGCAAACTTAGCCTAAGAGAAGTGGCTTGCTGCTATTCCTGTTGGAAAGGCTCCATGTCATGCTGCTTGCTTAATGGCATTTGCTTTTCTTAGATTTCATCTTCCTTTCACACCCTTAAACAGAAGCCTTTGACCCAGCGCTTCCCTCCTTGGAAAAGCAGCATCATGTGCTGCTGCTCCAACTTCACCACCCACAAAAGCTGCTCCAGATGGAGGTGACATGCACTAGGGCTCCCACTGGTTGAGCCGTGCCCAAGAGCAGTATTGAAGGGGGCAGTGGGATCTGTGCTGATGCTGGCTGCAGCTGGAGGCAGCCCATATAATGGCTGTGAATTGTAACACATCCTCAACCAACTTCCAGCTAGTCTGGTCTCTCACATGTCAGCTCCCAGTTTGCATTCCCAGGGGCCTGCCCCATGGTAGCTGCCCTCAGTCTTCCTGAGAGCCGGGATGCTGGGCTTCTCTCTGTCCTGACACGGTAAGTGGGTTAGATGCCACCAGACCAAAGACTATGAGATTACAAAGAGTCTCTTCTTGTTTGCGTTTTGTATTGCAAGAATGCAGAAAGAGAGGAGAGTCCTGTGCAGCCTCTTCAAAATACTTTTTCAAGAGCCGGTTCAGAGGCAGGGGAGAAAGTGAGTTTTTTTGTTTCTTTGTTTTTTTTTGGGGGGGGGGGGGGGGGGGGGGTGGGGAAGGAGGTCAGTAGACATATCACTGAGTAGGTGTGTGGACATATGTACATACGGACGTGCTATAAGACTCTCTCCTTCTTCTTACATCCACTTCTGCCTCGCCCTCCTCCACCCCACCCCACGGCCCACATATCCTTCCATGCCAATTTACATGCCCACCAAGCCACATCCATTGGCATTGTCTTGATTCCTCTGTCCTGCCTAAAAGCTGTCCCGCTCTACCGTCTGGTCAGTGTTGCAGCTGGCTCGCGCCAACACCTCCCCGTCCCCCTCAGGACACCCGCCTCCCTCCCCGCTCTGCTCCTCTGTGACCACGTGGTTGGCCTCCTCGACAGCCACCGCCATGGCGTCGCCAGTGCTGTGGGCCAACTGGTGGTTGTTGCTGCTGTGCTCCTCAGCCTCCTGCATGTCAGACTCGGCTTCCTCGGTGTCGCTCCCACCGCCAGCTGAGGGAGACTTCTCCGGGGGAGGTGCCTTCTTCTTCTGCCGGTTGAGGCAGCAGTAAGTGGCCATAGCCAGAAAGAGGGCAGAGAGAGCCACCTCGGAGCCCGCCAAGTAGAAGATCACCTCGTAGTTCTTGAGAGCATCAACTAGACGGCCTGAAGGGTGGACAAGAAACAAGCCAGTTAGCCTGAGCACCCCTGCATGGACTTCCCAGTGCATCTCCAGCACTTGTGTCTGGCTAAGGAGCCATTTCTCAAAGGAAGGCTGCATAGCCTGATTATTTAAAAACAGCCTAGATAAGGACCTGAACGATTGAAAGTTATTCTTTACCACCAGGGAAAGTACTGTAAGATCACAGGTTTGATGTTTTGCCTTTGTTCTGACAGGTTTAAATACTTGTAACCCACTGATGCCATGGTCTGGCACTACAGTTGGCTGTTTCCTCACCAGACTGAGACTAGCCTCCAAGAACTTGACTTTTCCAATCTCAGAAAAGGCATTGCTATTTCTTAACATACCATGCAGGGAAAGCATTCAGTGGAGGAGACACAGCAGCTCTTTGGCACAGAAATCATCAGGAGTGGACCAGGCCTGAATGCACTGAGGCTGG